TTTTTGGGGTAGTTCACACTGTTTTAAAGAAACATTTTATTGTTAAAAAGTTTAATACTCAAAGATTACCCTATATTTTGAAAAAATGAGTGAAAACGACAGCCTGTAGGAATATCTCAAGAACTATTTTTAAAAAATCAAAATTCGTACTGATCCACGTTTGTCTGAAATTGAAACAGATAATGAAACTTGAATCCATATTGCTTTAAACCTCAAAACAAATTTACAATAAGATGCACTTGACAAAATTGCAAAGGCCTAAAAATAGCAAAGAATTGTAAGAGCACAAACACATTTTTATATGCAATTTTCTTAAATACTAGCGGTCTTATTGTTCGAATTCATATTCGGGGAGGAAGTTCAATTTTTGAAGGAGTATAGAGAACATTTTTTTTGCAAAAATAATTGAAAGATTTATGAGAGGAAGGAAACAGAATGAGGAATTCACAACATTAAATTTCTTCATGACGGCGTCCAAACCCACAGGTCATGAAGTGTAAAGGAGTTTGGGGGATAAACAGAAAGTTAATGTTTTTTCACAACAACAAAATTTGCCAGATTTTTCAACCTTTGACTTGTTTCATTTCCCAAACTTAGATAAACATACTTCAGAAAGAAAAAAATAGGTACAGCAAATCATAGGATCTGCCATATTCCAGTATAAGAAGGGTCATACTCAAAAACATGTTCTAAAAACAATTAGAAATTGAATAAAAATGTTACGGACATGTGTTTTAATTAAAAGAGAATATTTTAGTTAAATCATTCAGACTAAATCATAGAAAAGCGTTTTTTGTTTCTTTCCGAGCTCCAATGACATTATTCATTGAACGCCCCTCGTACGTTTAAAACTGCACAAAATATTGGTAAGATATTTCACTTAGTCAAAGCGCATTAAATATATTAGTTTTGAGGAATACATTTCATTCAGAATGAGAAATGAAGATGGGTTGCCTGTTTAAGGGTTGTCGATACCAATTTTGTTTTAACCGTCTTTCCTCTATGGAAAACGAACTGGTCATTCTTTAACAGAATGGACAGTTTTCCAAAAAGTCTAGACACTTACAGGCAACTTTATAAATTGATATGGGAGTTTGCTCAATACATAGTTTTAAGAAAGGACAACACAGATAGAAGATCGTATTTAAATATAAACCTACGAATGACAATAACTGCCTGCCTGGCCCGCCATACAGCGTAGATAACGACTGTGTACTTTTATCAGCGGTCTGGATGTTGACCCGTGGAATGTTGTGTTATACTTACAGGTCAACCCTCTCACGGGGATAAGTCGTGATCGTATACGTATTTGATGTCCACGGAAGTTAAATACACAAATATAGGTAATGTTTTAAAAATTGAGGATCCCGAATAAAAAGCGACATTAATGCATTAAGGACAGAGGAACGTCTCGTTCCTAAATAATAGATAGATTTTTCAAAGATTTTGTCATTGAAGCATTGCTACTTAAACAGGTTTACTCAGAAAAAATTGAGGTACATTACATGTACCAGGCATTTCTTCAAATTAAAAAGAGTAGTTTTCCTTATATAATCCTTTTTGGGAAGAAAAATAATTTTCCTATTTCAAATGTTTAAAGGCCGAGGTTTTTAACCGTACGGTTTTCCTCAGGTAAGTTTGGTGTGGGGTGGAGCTTAATTGAAGCGGCTGAGAAGCCCCGAGGGAACGACGCTGTCTTGTGTATACTACCTATATACACAGGATGTTGCCTGAGCCCCTGAGTGTATTACCTATATGCGTTTTCCTACGACTTTGTAAACCGAGGCCGTTTTTTCTCATGTTTAGCTCATGAATTGAAATGCGAAATAAAGCATTAATTTTTTGTTGCAGACAGAATCCTTCTCAACTTTTTTCTTTTAAAATAATTGATATTTTTAATAATTTGACATTTATATATGCAGTGTGTTTCTTAATGAAGTGTTAGAACGAAAATACATTGTGCACCGAAATTTGTCGTAATCTGACAAAAAAAGGGAAGTAATTCAAATTACACGTCGTCTCATAAAACAGTCTCTCGGTAAATAACAACGAAACTTAGAAACGATGTTTAGAGAATAAAATGTTGAAGTAAAAATATTATTGTCTAAATCTTTTTAAGATAAACCCTACTTGATTTTCCCATAACGCATGGTCGGTTAAAATGGCCAGGGCTTCGGACCGGGGTTGATTCCCCGACAGCTATGAAACGGGAATGGAATCATCTGCATCGTTTTTTTTTTTTCACTTTCGGGATTCAGTATTAATTTCAAAGATCAAATATTAACTACAAATTAGCAAGATGTTATATTCCGAGTAATTTCTCTTCTAAAACTTCGCTTGACTCATGAACATTGTTACAATGTTGTCATACTTGTTTTTAAAAAAATAATTTTATTTAATTCCATGATACTAGCTTCAAACGCAGTTCGGTTTATTTTGTTAATTAATTGAGGAATAAAAATGTACGTTAAATCATGTTTTGACAGGAAAATTAAAATTATCGATTGTAATCGTGATATGAAATCCTTCCATTTAAAATTCAATTTGTAATATATATTATATAGCCATGGTTTTTCTTGTCATTTATTTAATTATTTGAAAGATTGATTATATTTATGGCATATTCTTATGAATTAAAAAAGAAAAGAACGATTTGATTGCTTCTTTACATGTATCACGTTGGCATGTGCGGTAGGCATCACAAGCCTGAAAGTTAATTCGATGGTCGGTACGATCTCCAGACAAGGTACACAAGATATACACAACAGCAGCAAACTAAATGTCAATCAAATCAAAGTATCCAATCCCTGGCTAAATTTCAAATGATTGACAGGGGTTCTAAGACCAGGTAAATTTGAAGGAGGTGCTTATTCCCCCCCCCCCTTTAAGTAATTAGATTTTGTAAAAACGTTTAGAAACTGGTTTAGAAATCAGAATGTTATTATAAGATTTGGAATAGTTTTCATACATTACGAAGATATACAAAACAACTTTTGAGGAACATCTCGTCTGACCTGAAGATATGCATTAGTACATGTACCAAGGACACCTGACGTTACTTATCTTTCTTTTTATAAAGAATATACCCACTATCTATTAGGGATAGGTGGTATATATATTTTTATTATTAAAAACTAAAAGAAAAATAAGTCACGTCAGGTCCCTTTAAATGGTACATGTATGCGTATGAAATGTTAGATTAAGGTCAGACGAGATGTTCCTCAATATTTGTTTTGTATATCTTCGTAATGTATGAAAACAATTCCAAATCTTAATAACATTCTGATTTCTAAACCAGTTTCTAAATACTTAAACATTTGAAATAGGAAAAATATTTTTCTTCCCAAAAAGGATTATATAAGGAAAACTACCCCTGTTAATTTGAAGAAATGCCTGGTAACGTACCTCAATTTTTTCTGAGTAAACCTGAATTAATTGTGTTTGAGAGGGAAATACTTTATAATTGTTTGTGATTTATTAGATAAAAGGATCATTGATCAGGTGTACTGATTTTAGAGCCGTATGTTTTTCATTACTGAAGACAAGAAGCCGCGTCCTTATGTAAGTCAGGATTTCCTCTGATATTCTTGAATAAATCAAAGAATGCAAATATAAGTAACGCGCATCATGGAATATGCCAGCAGAGCAATTGCTATTCATAACGCCATGTTCACTGAATAACGTTGTTTATTTCTTAAATACCCCCGGGATCTTTCGATCCAGGGGCATAAAGATTACTGAATGAAAGCGCTTTAAAATTTTATTCTTTTCTTTTGCATCAAAACAATCTAGCGTCTTGAGAAAGGAAGCAATAATCATATGAAGTTGTATGAAATGCGTTAAGAGATTCCAGGAATTCAAAATTAATACGGTATGATACCTTATTTCAAACGAAAAATGTGATAATACATTTTCAACTCGAATTAATGATATTGTCTTTTTATCTCAAATTGGTGAGATAACTATTTCGAAAAGGTGATATCACGCGTTGAATGATGGACAGATGAGGATTTTCTGTTTGTTAAAAGTGGCAAAAAGGTAAAATCTGAAGCAAGGCTAATTCGATAAATTCATGGAATCAGAGTAGAGTAGGAGAACTCAAGAGTGTTGGTTAATTACTATTTTCTACTCTATCTACATGTAATTTGATAATTTAGATTCTTCAGGATAAAAAAAATTATTATTTGCGGTTAGAGTAGGGTTGTCACCCTCACGCGAAAGCAACCTCGGGTGACAACCCAACTCAGACTTGATAATTGGTGATGTCTCCCTTCTAAACAGTCCATAACTGTATATTGTCACCATCTACCAAGTACAAATATACACATACATGTATACGCAACTAATATTCCAATTGCGAGTTGAATTGTACATGTAGTAATAGCAACTGGTTTGTGGCAGGAATTGTCCTCATCTATAAAATAAAATTAAAAAAAACTCCTCAGTAATTAATGATGATTAATTTGTAATCTAAAAGGCTTTAATTGGCAAAAAATCTCATGAGGGCTGTTCAGTAAGTAATGTACTGGTACTATGACATAAAATATAGAAATCATATGACATTAAGCCTGAATTTCCTTTCTCTCATTGACTGAATCTTAAATGAATTGATTATGTGATCACTTTTCATCATATAGAATATGAGAAGCTGGAAAACAAGGTCTATTCGAGACGCTGCATTAAAAATGAATGGTAAGAAATCAGTAAACTAGAGTGAAATTAAACACTTCATTAAAGGTGCTGTATACATGTAACTCGTTAAGAATCCCAAAGAAATATTGATTGAAATACAGGTATGTGAAATTTACAGCAACCAATGTCTGTTTTATAGACACATGAGCAGGCGAATTTCAATGAACAAAAATGATATAATGTGCATAAAAATGGGTACCGACCTTGGCGACAAGGACCTACAATAACAAGTGTAGTGTCTGCCAAAATTCAGCAAATATCACTTATGACATTTGATTGACATTAAAACATAGAGAAAAATTGATAGGTATAAATTTTGGTTAGATTACACTGTTTTAAAGAAAAAATTGACAATAAGAAAGCTAAGTACTCAATGGTCACTATATGTTTTGAAAAATGAGTAAAAACGACAGTGTGTAAGAATATCTAAACAATTATTTTAAAAAAATCTGAAATTGTTGTTATCCACATTTATCTGAAATTTAAACGGATGATGAAACTTGAATATATTGCTTTAAACCTCAAAACAAATTTACAATATGATGCACTTGTCAAAAACATCCAAGGTCTGAGAAGAGCAAAAAATTGCAAAATCACAAACACAGTTTTATATGCCATTGTCTTATATATTAGTGGTCTTGTTTTTCAAATTCTTATTCGCGGCAGCAGATCAATTTCAAGAGAACTCTAGAAAGCAGTTTTCTTTGCAAAAAAAAAAAAAAAAAAAAAAAAAAACTAAAATGTTTATGAGAGGATTGAACAAGAATCAGAAATCCACTCCAATAAAGAATTTCTTTAAGGCAGCGTCCAAACCCACACTCGCTAGGTCTTTCACCTTTGAACTGTTTCATTTTCCAAACTAAAAAACAACAGCACCATTCAGAAAGAAAAAAAAAACAAGTCCAGGAAATCAAAGGATTCGCCATATTTCAGTATACGAAGGGCAATACTCAAAAATATGTTCTAAATCAATCAGAATTTAGATAAAATAATTACGGACATCTGTTTTAATATAGAGAGAATATATAAGTGAAATCATTAGTACTAAATCATTGAAAAACGATTTTGTTTCTTTCCGAGCTCTGAGGACATTATTTATTGAACAGCCCTCGTATTTAGTAATATTTTACTAATTTTAATTTAATGCCACCAGAGGATAAGAGTTTATAAATAAACTCTAGAGAACTTCTCTTAAAGGTAAAAAAAAATATTGAATGAATATAGACTGTTTTTTAAAAACGTTATCGCTCAATTATAACGTCAACATTGACTTAAGCTTAGTTTAAGCTTTAATCCCCCCATACTTTTCGACTGTAATAGAATTTTGTGGATAATAAAGCATTTTCATTTTATCAAAATTGTGTCAAATGTGAACCAATGTTCATGTTCATGTTAAATATCATTAATTATTTACAAACTTCACTAAATTGCCGAGGGATATTCTCGTAATTTTATGATCATAAAAAGGAGCACAGCATGTGTGACCAGTCGGCAGGGGATGCTCATTTTATAACTGCACCTAATTCCACCTCTGATGTTTTGAGGGGCCAGTCGGCAGGGGATGCTCATTTAATAATGGCACCTGATTCTACCTCGTGTTTTGAGGGTTCGTGTTTGCTTTGTTTCTAATTTGTAATGTTTGATGGACTATTGGGTTTGAATACTGTTAGTTATCTCCACATATTCCACATACAGAACTCTGAAACATGATGCAAACACTTATCTTAATCCGTTTCCTTATATAATCGTACAGTTACAGATAAAGTAAATTTTTTGTTAAACGGACTTTTATTTGAGCTTCAATACTGTCCGTTTTCTTCATATATTTCATGACGCCCCGTGGGGATCCGGGTCAGAATAGATCCTCAGTACCCCCTTACTTGTCGTAAAAGGCGACTAAATGGGGTGGTCCTTCGAATGAGACCGTATAAACCGAGACCCCGTGTCACAGCAGGTGTGGCACGATAAAGATCCCTCCCTGCTCAAAGGCCGTAAGTGCCGAGCAAAGGCCTAAATTTGCAGCCCTTCACCGGCAATGGTGACGTCTCCATATCAGTGAAATATTCTGGAGAGGGACGTTAAACAGTATACAATCAATCATTTCATGACAATATTCAGGAGGTATATGCTGATTAAAGAGACTGTATGCAGTAATGAATAATTTTTTCCTTATAAAAATAATTCCAGATATATACATAATCATTACCTTTTTCATTTTATGTAACAATAGCAGTGTGAAGTATGTATCTTAATTAAGTTTGTTCCAAAATACATCGCTATTTAATCCCTATACACCTTATTCTACCAAGCTATGTATACATTCGTAAAAAAAAAAACAATCAGTAAAAATAAGTTCGTGAAAAGTAAAAAAAAAAGGAGAAACAAAGAAATAATCTTGACCTATCAATGAAAGTCGAGATGAAAAAAGGTGCAAAGGACAAAAATCACGATTATTTAGGCAAGATTAGAAGAATTGCTAAAAAATAATAAAGGGATTTAATAGCGTATCGAAATATGGAAAAACAATATGGAAAATGGAAAACATCTATGAATCTTATTATGGAGGATTTTGAAATTCTTGCATAACTACTATTCAATTGTATTTTTAATAAATATATCTTTTAGAAATATTATTTAAAACTAAATTAATATATATTCTGATAATTTTAAAATTACTGCAATCAAGAAAAAAAAAATCATTATCGTATAATTAGTTGCTCGAAAACAATTAGGGAGAAGAGTAGAATCTTGGTTATTTTTTTCTTTTGTTGTGAAATATAAGAAGATATGGAACACTATTCGAGCTTAAGAGTCCATTACCCATTCTAGATAAGAGAGGTGGTATCAGGTGCCATGGATGAGTGAGCATTCCCTACCGACGGGCCACACCGGCTATGCGTTCGTTGTCATGATAATAAATAAATAGCGGGAAAAAAGGCAATAATTCAATGTCTAGATAATGGTCTAACAATTTGGGAAAACATCAGCCAGCTTTTGACTTAATGATAAATAAAATTTGTTGACAAGATCATTATACCAGGGTATCTACTAGAAATTTACGAAATGATGACTAAATAATTATTTTGCCTTTTAATTCAGAGTGGCTCCACTCTTGAACAATCAAAATGATGCATTAGAATTTCGAACAATTTTTTTATGTCAAATATAGAATAACAAACCAGATTCGCATTGCGTTCTGCGCATATTCTGTGGATTTTCACCCATAGACTTCGACTGAGGAGCGAAACCTAAAACAAAAGAAAAAAAATCTTTTTAATTAAATCCAATTAATTTCAATTCTTCTTAATTAAACATAGAAGAAGTAATCATTTTCTAGTCAATTTTTCTCTGTAGAAGGAATATATAAAAGAAAAAAAATACCAAAAATAATTTTCTCCTTGACATGAGAAATCTTGCATTGTACATATTCAATATCCTCTTCCATTTCTGATTTTTGGCTAAGTGGTAAGTCTCCAATCATACGATCAGTGTCTGTCTTCAGGAAACTGTCTAATTTTTGAACCAGTAAGTTATATAAACTGATATTTTTCCCCACAGACAAGGTGCGCTCAGAAATGGAGCAGCATTCCAATGCATTGTCGATAAAATTTTCTAAAATTTCTCTCCTTTTCGTGAGTCTGCTTATATTAGAATTTAGTCTTTCGGCTTTCTTCTTATTAACATTCCTTTCGTAATCGAGTAAAAGTCTTATTTCTTTCCTGATAGTTTCTGCAAATCTTTTTTTGTTGGTTAACATTTGGGTTAAATAGGAACTTTTCCTAATAATGGTTAGATTATATACACGCAACAGCTTTTGGGAAATTTGCATACCTAACTCTCTGCACTCCTTCAAAATTTCAACTTCTTCTATTAATTTGATTTTCATGTTTTGCTTTTTCCTTTCCGAAAAAATAACTTTATCTATACTTCCTTGGGTGTATGGTGTATTCCCATTTTGTCCTTTGTTATCCGATTCTAAATTGAAGAACAAGGCACAGTTTCAATAAAAATCTTGCAATGTGATTTTCTTAAAAATAAACTTATGCACTGACTGACGTTTTTCATACTATTTTTAGTTTGTTATTTATACATTGAATTGACGACGGATTTTTTTCCGTTATTTCCCGATCATGACAAGGAGCACCCGGCGAGTGTGACCGGTCAGCAGGGGATGCTCATTCCTCCATAGCACCTGATCCCACCTCTGATAATTCGGAGGTCCGTGTTTGCTATGTTCCTATTTTGTATTGTTTTCTTCTTTGATATTGAATACTGTTCGTTATCTCCATATCCTTCATGCAAGAAATTTAAACACCTGCTTTCTAAATCATTGTTTTCCCTGCAGAAAAAGCATACTCATAATTTATTCTCTCATGTATTTATAAATGCTAATTGTGAATTCATAAACAAGTACATTTTTCATTCTTTAGAAATATAATGAAATTTTCTTTTAAACACTATTGTTAACAGGCATCGCCCAGAGAGATTTTTCGATATGTGATTTTTCATTAAATTTTGCACACCATATCTACAAATGAAAGTGGGCGACGGATTTGGATACAATTTTATGAAGGAAAATTACCAACACTATTTCCTGATTTATCATTGTCCTTAACTCAACTAATATTGAAATTAATTTCAAAATTTTTTGATGAGGTTAAAATTTAGGGAACAATAAAGCTAGAACCGTACCTTGCTCTTTATTGGTATTTCTTGAAATTGATGCTGCAAATTCTTGATATTCTTGAAATTCTGCACGTAATTCTGATTCAATGAATTCTTCTAAATGTTTTTGGCTTTTCATTAAAGCTTTAAATTTGGATATCAAATTTTCAGACATCTTTTTCTTTTCATTTTCTTCGAATTCTTGTAAAGACTTAACGCCTCTCCTTACAGTTGCTGCTAATTTTTTCCTTCTACTCTTTTCCTTGGTTGACAAAGCTGAACGTAATTTCTGAATTTTCATTAAACATGTTTTTGCTTCGCCTATTTTAATTTTTATTTTTCGACATTTCTCGTACATTTTCGTCCGCAGAGTTTCACATTCATCGCTGATCTTCGTATACCTATGCCCAATGTGATCCTGGACAACGCAATTGGCACAAATAGGCTTGTCACATGTTTCATTCTTACAGAAAAATTTTAGGTCGTTTTTCTCATGACCCTCCAAAAGGCAAATATCATATTGAGAATTGATTTTACACTCAAATTTGTGGTTTCGGCAGACGTCGTTTGTTTTCCTCTTTTCAAAGCACATATTACAAAATCGAATGTTACAAAATGTACAGAGGTGAAAATTGCTTTCTTGCATCATGTATATTTTACAATCATTGCACAAGCTTTCAGAAGTGAATATGAGAACCAAATCTCTCATCTCACGTCTCATGTTGTCCTTTGGAAAAATCAGGATGTCTTTGTTTTTAATAACGTGCTCTTGGTTGCATAAAGGGCAAACTATTTTCTTACAAGAGGAATGCTTCAAAAGACATTCGGAACAAAATGTATGATTGCAAGGAAGAATTCGGGGAACATGTGCATTTTCGTCATAAATGCAAAAGCATATTGTACATTCGCAAAAAGATTCCAGATTTTTGACAAAAGTTGTAATATCTGATGTACCCATCTGAAATGAATAAATACATTTGTTTTAAAGACAGATGATACAAACAAATGTTTTTTGAAAGAGACTTAATATCATGTCACAAGTTTAGAAAAGAGGATACATGTAATTCTTAGAATTTTTTCTCCTAAGAACTGGAAAATGAAATAGACTTGGAAAATATTAGTAATATTTCAATATAATTACAAAAATAGACAAAGCATACAGTACCGACCGGACACAACCTAACACCAGAGCGAACCCGGAGCGAACGCCGGGTTCGCTTCCCGGGTTCGCTTCGGGTTCGCTTTCAGAAATTTTGGGATCGCTCCGGGTTCGCTCCGCGTTCGCTCGGTGTCAGCTCTGGGTCCGCTAGAGCAAACCCGGCGTTCGCTTCCTGGGACCGCTTTACGCACTGATGCGTGAAGCGGACCCCGCTTTAATCTCACCGCCAGTAAGCCCCGCCCCTTGTATATTCCAATACAGTGTTGGTATTGTGGATCGATCATTGTTGTTTATGCAACGATGCGGACATGTACACTGTACATGTAAACAGTGATATAATGGAGAACATTGATAAATTTTCTAAAAGTCAACTGTACATTCGACGTAGATTTATATGTACATGAATAATTGATTTACTTGATTTCTCGATCCGAGAAATTCAAACTAATTTAACAGCGGGTTATAAGGCATTTATTTCTCTTAAGTTATAACGAGAAAATAAAAAAGAAGAGGAAGAAAAAAGTGTTGAATTGATTTTCAGTGTATCGAATGGTGTACTAGTGAATCTAAACTAAATACCTTTTAAATCCATGCTTTATATAGTTTAAAAATACATTTGTTATTCCGTACGTTTTGCTAAATCGTAGTTTTAATGCTTGCGTAACACGTGAATTATGATATCGCATCTATAAATTACATGTAACTTTTTGTTCATCTGATATATGTAGATTTCATTTATAGTATTTACACATTGAAAGTTCGTTATAAATATATACCGGACATTTTCTAAAAAAAAAAATGCACTACATATAATAGATCTTTTTCACGGTCAGAATTTTGGAGCGAGTATGATTTTTATCAGAATAAAGAAAAAGGCAAATAATGATTGTTCTCCCGACCCGATAATAATATATTAATATAGACCCCCTATTTCACACACATGTACGCTTTGTTTTTAAAAAATTTTAATTATTTATTTATTTTATTTATGATTTTTCAATTTACGTTTTACATTAAATAATTCAAAATTTACATCAATTAATTGATCATCTTGGGCATGAAAAATGCGTGTATATAGAAAATCTTCCTTCTGAATGCACACATTGAAGTCATTCCGCCCTAATGGTATTAACAAACTGAATGACTTCACCAGAATGTGAATTAGACCCGATTCCTGATGATACTTAACAAGATTATTCTTTCAATTTAGTATAATTCTACAGTAAGTTTGCGTTGTTAACTCTCGAACAACCCACCTAACCATGTATTGCTTACGCATTTATTGATTATTTTTTCCCAATAATTAGTCCTAAAACATTTCAAAATTTATAATAGATCATAATTCATATGTTTAAATATACATTCTATATTATATTTCTATGATTATTCTTCGTCAAGTATAGTTACGCCATTTTGAGAGAATGAAACAATGTACGATTTACTAAATGTCGTGATTAATTTGCATAATTAATTCGTTCAATTAAGTAAATCGCACTTCCCCTGAGTTTACAGTTATGATCTCTTTCTCTCTCTCTCTTTAATCTTGATGTTTCTTGTATCTGAATTGTATTAAAATATTAGGGACGTTCATATTCTTGAACCGTTAGTATCTTGAGATGATGAAATTTTACAATAATTGTCAAAAACTATATTTATTTCCTCCTCTTTTTGTCAGTAAAAATTGTAATATCAATTGAATTCCATTTTTATGCATTGACTGATGTATTTACACAATTTATTTACCAAATGGACTTTAAATACTGGTATAAAAACCTAAAGAAAATAAAAAGTAAATATTCATGTATAATTCTACGTGGAAAATTAAAACGTATAAATAATAAGTTGCTTTAATAAAAAAAAAGAAAAAATATATATAAATATAGAATACAACTCGGAGAATTAAAATAAATAAATATTAAGTAATATTTTAATTATCATAACAGATTTACACAGCACATTCACACATTTTGCTTGTAGGTACATGTACAGTGTTTGGATTTATATCGAATAAAATCAACACGTTCGATCTTATATCCCAATTGACAGATCAATATGCTATTTTGATTGATTGCTGTCCTGATTGACAGCTCTGTAAAGAAATACCGAACCCGCGTTCGCTCCTTGGGACCGCTACTGAATTTGGGGTTCGCTCTCTGGGTCCGCTTCGGGTTCGCTCGGGGTCCGCTACGGGTTCGCTCCGGGTTCGCTCGGGGTCAGCCCTAGCGGACCCCGAGCGAACCCGGAGCGGCCCCAGAGAGCGAACCCGGGGTCCGCTCCGGGTTCGCTTTCTGTTAGGTTGTGTCCGGTCGGTACTGTACTCAGTAAAGGTTTACAGATGAAAACAAATTCCAGAATACGATACATTGGTGCTGATAGTTTAATTTACATGTAAACTTTAGAAAAATTTACCAAGCAGGGTGAATTTTATTGAGAAAAGCAAAATGGTAAAAATCAGCCTATGGTTTATTGATGATTTGTTTGTCATTTTGTATTTCCTCATAGAAACTTGGCAGTGATACTTATTCGGCGTAAGTTATATTTTTCAAAAATATATTTTTTTTGCTTTTTAAATGCAAAATAGTTCAAAGTGGAAAAAAAAATAATGACTTTTTTTTTTCAAAATCAATTTATAATATCAATATTAAGCAAATATACATGTAATTGTCTGATTATTGTGTATTTTATGATTGTATTTAAAGTCTACAGCGTTCAAGCCCATGCAATTAGAGTTAGATAAATATATCGACGTGTTTATCAGGTAGTATATATACAGGGATGATAATGTAATGTTTGTTTCGATTTAGCAAAAGTTAAGTATATATAGCATTCAATGAATAGAAATATACATTTTGAGATAATTTATTCCTACTTCATAACAGAATATCATTTTTACCAGATCTGAAAGAAAGTTTGTATTTTTAATCCTAGCATTTTTTTTTATAAATACGAACAAAATAAATATGGTAATGAAATACACATCTGGTATGTCGATCACGTGTTCAATGTATATCGGGGTCCCATGTACTTGATTTTAAAAGTTTTAAAGTAAGTGGTCAACAAAGTTTTACATAATCATTTACCATGTGTCAATAAAAAATGAATTAATTACCTCTTTATGATCAGCTGATGTTGTACTTGAATCGTTTGTAAGCATATTTTATCATAAGAAAGACACAAATTTGACTGAGTCTAGCGTTTGTGTATTCAAGGGACATTGCTCAGTACCAATGCAAATGTATGGCGAGATAGAATAGCCACAAGTTTTTCTTTAAAAAATAGTTGAGCAAGCGCACTATCAATTTTTAAAAAACAGAAAGGAAGGTTTGTGATCAACTAATTTAGTTTGCTGACTTCTTTAAATTTTAATGAGTCTGGAGTCTGATAGTTAGAGTTATAATTTTTGTGAAGTGTATTTTATAGAATTAAAAACATATATATTAGTGTGGAACTGCATTGTACGAGGGCCTTTCAATAAATAATGTCCTGAGCTCTGTGACATACAACACAGAAATCATATGACATTAAGCAACTTTCTCTCTTGATTGAGTATTTGATGGATTGATTACAATCAAGCTTATGTAACCACTTTTCATCATATAGATTCATTGTTAGAAGTTGGAAAAACAATAGCTATACGAGATCTTCATTTAAAATGACTTGTAAAGAATAATTAATCTAGAGTGGATTTAAACACGTCATGAAAGCTGTTGTGAAACTCGTTAAAGATTTCAAAAGAAATATTCATTGAAATATGTGAAATTTACAGCAACCAATGTCTCTTTCGTAGACACATGAGCATATGGATTTCAATGAATAAAAACTATATAATGGGCATCACAGATGAGTACCGGCCTTGGTGACAAAGACTTACAACAACTAAAGTAACGTTTTTTTCAAAATTCAACAAATTATCACTGATGATGTTTGATTGACTTTATGATCCTAGGAAAGTAAATAGGCATCATTTTGGGGTAGTTTACACTGATTAAAAGAATCATTTGACAGAAAAAAGCTTAGTACTTACAAATATAATTGTCACCCTATTTTTTTTTTAAAATGAATGAAAACAATAGCGTAATTGTGTGTGAGTGATGGATGGTGTTGTCCTTAAAGGCCGAGGTTTTCAACCGCACGGGTTTCCTCAGGTAAGTTTGGTGTGGGGTGGAGCTTAATCAAAGCGGCTTAGAAACCCCGAGGGAGCGACGCTGGCTTGTGTATACTACCTATATACACAGGATGTTACCTGAGCCCCTGAGTGTATTACCTGTATGCATTTTCCTACGACTTTGTAAACCGAGGACTTTTTTTTCATGTTTAGCTCATGAATTGAAATGCGAAATAAAGCATTTTTGTTGCAGACAGAATCCTTCTCAATTTCTTTCTTTTAAAATAATTGATATTTTTAATAATTCGACATTTTTTATATACAGTGTGTTTCTTAATGAAGTGTTTTAACGAAAATACATTTAGCACCAAAATCTGTCGTTGTAATCTGGCGACATAAAGGGAAGTAAATCAACGATGACGTCTACGCAAAAAGGAAAGAAGAAAGTGAATCATAAAACAGTCTCTCGGTAAATAACAATGAAACTTAGAAGCGATGTTTTGAGAATAAAATGTTGAAGTAGAAATATTATTGTCTAAATAAATATCCTTTTAAGAATAAACCCTACTTGATTTTTCCATAACCATGGTCAGTAGAAATGGCCAGGGTTCGGACCGGGTTTGATTCCCCGACAGGTATGAAACGAATCATCTGCATCTGCAGAATCATCTGCATCGTTTTTTTTCTTTCGTGATTCATTATTAATTTCAAACATTAAATACAAAGCAAGATGTTATATTCCGAGTAATTTCTCTTCTAAAACTTATTATTATACCGTAACTTCGTCACCATGTCTCGAAGAAAAGCGACACGTACAGGTTTGTCTTATAAATATAAATTCACTTGACTCATGAACAATGTTACAATGTTGTCACACTTGTTTTAAAAAATAATTTTATTTAATTCCATGATACTAGCTTCATACGCAGGTTGGTTTGTTTGGAATAAATGTACGTTAACTCATGTTTTGACACGGAAATTAAAATCAATTTATTTATCGATTGTAATCGTGATATGAAATCCTCCCTTTTAAAATTAAATTTATAATACTTTTTATATATTATATAGCCATGATTTTTCTTGTCATTTATTTAATTATTTGAAGATTGATTATATTTATGGCATATTCTTATGAATTAAAAAAAAAGAAAATAACGATTTGTTTGCTTCTTTATCACGTTGGCATGTGCGGTAGGCATCAAAAGCCTGAAAGTTAATTCGATGCTCGGTACGATCTCGAGACAAGGTACACAAGATATACACAACAGCAGCAAACTAAATGTCAATCAAATCAAAGTATCCAATCCTAGGCTTAATTTCAGATGATTGACAGAGGTTCTAAGACCATGTAAATTTGAAGGAGGTGCTTATTTCCTCCCCCTTTAAATTTATTTAAATATTCTTTTTGTACTAAATATTTCGTGATTGTACGTAAAGAAAAGCATGTTCATTTGCATAAGACAAACCTTTTGATTT